AGAAGGAAGGGAGAGAGAGGTGGGAGGGAGAGAGGGAGGGAGAAAAAGTGGGAGGGAGGGAGGGAGGAAGGAAAAAGGAAGGAAGGGTGGGAAGGAGGAAGGGAGGGAGACTGGCCAGGAAATCAGGAGATGGGAGTGTGGTCCTGAAGTCTGTGGCCCCCGCCCACATGGCAGGCAGCCTTAGGCAAGTTATGCTGGTTTTCTGAAACTCAGGCACAGGAGGTGTTCTGGATGGTCTGGGCACCCTCCTTTCTAGCTCAGACTTTCCACAGGCCTTTGAGATAAAGGTAAAGAACGCTGTATACACTATGCTGACACCTGTGGAAATAAAGAAGAAAGCTGAGTCTATATGTAATTGCTTAAATTACATACAGACCCTCAACGAGATGGACTGACCCAGCGGCTGTAACAATGGGCTCAAACACAGCAATGATTGTGAAGATGGCGCAGGACCAGGCGGCGTTTCGTTCTGTTTTCACAGTGAGTCGGAAGTGACTCAAAGGCACCTAACAACAACAGTTGCCTCTTCGGTGGAACTCAGCAGCTGGGGAAATGAGGTGTGAGGGAACTTATTCACTGTTACACACTTGTGTAACTTTGATTGAGCCATGGTATGTATTACCTAGTCAAAATAAATGAATATGTTTTGTTTCTTCCTTAAAATTGGTTGATGGAAGAAGCCCTACACCCAAAAAGCAACCCAACTTAATTGGAAATATATTTCGGGGGAAGGAGAAAGTGACTCGGCCAGGTTCACTTCCAGCCCCTCACTCTCTGTGGGCATCCTTCCTGCCTGCCCTTCTCCAAGGAGGCGAATGATGTCATTTCCTAGAATGTGTGATGGGGGTGGGAGGAACTGCAGGAGAGGGGCTTACAATGATTCTCCAAGTATGTGGGATGCAGCAGAGTCACGTTCATGGTCTCATGAGAGAACCACCGGTGCAGTGGTTCTCAACCAGGGGCAAGTTTGCCCCCCAGGGGACCTTTGGCAATGTCTGGAGACTTGTGGTTGTCACAACTGAGAGGTGTTACTGGCATCTAGTGGGCAGAGGCCAGGGATACTGCACAGCATCCTACACCGCGCAGGACACAAGGTTAATGCCGTGGATGAGAAGGCAGTGCTTCTCGGACTGCTGGGTGTACAGGCATCAGCCGGGGCTCTGGCTAAGGTGCGGGTTCTGATGCAGCAGTACTGGGGTGGGCTGATAGTCTGCATTTCCAACAAGAGTGACACCATCTTTGCTGGTGGGGGAACCACACTTTAAGCAAAAGGGGCCTTACCCAGACCAGCTGGGGCCAAACATGGATCTTCTCGGCAAAGGGGAAATAGAGGGGGCCGCTCTGGATTGGGTCAACAGTGCAGACTAGGGGTGGAGGGGCAGGCTGCGCTTGCAGGAAACTCGCCTGAGCTGTGGTGAGATCCTCCCTAGGACCACGAGTTCGGGCTGCTGGGGCAGGGCTGGCCTGGGGTGGAGGCCAGGGGGCTTACCGTCCAGAGTCTCCACTGAGAGCTGCAGGCCTAGGTTGTGCCGTGGGTTGACCACCCAGTGGTTGCTGGTGGCCGTGATGTCGAATACCAGCCAGCCCTCCTCCGTGGCCCAGAGGGTACGGCTGTCCAGGAGGAACAGGTTGGAATCCCTGTGAGAGAGGAGAGACAAGGGCTTCGGGTCAGCGGGGTCACAGCTCAGTCAGCCACTGACAGGGGGTGCTCCTTGTGCAGTGAGGGAAGCATGAGGAGGCCCAGCGGGTCCCTGCACATGGGTTCATCAGACCCAGATCCAGGCATGAAGACCCTTCGGGAGAGAAGTGGAAGGAGACGCTGCTGAGAGATAAGCTCACTGTCTTAGACATCTACTGCTGCTGTAACAGAAATACCACGAGTGGATGTTTAACAAACAGCAACGTATTTATTTTCAGAGTGCCGGCTCTAACCCAGAGCTGATAGAGAAAGAGAAAGCCTTCGTCTAGAGCGGATGGATCCTTGTCTCTTCAGCTTCTATTTCCTGGTTCCTTGGAGATCTCCATGTGGCTTGGCATCTATCTTACCCCGTCTCTGCTTGCTGGTTTAATCTCTTTTCTATCTCAAAGGAGACTGACTCAAGACACTCCCTACACTATTCTTCTCTCTCATTAACATAATAAAGAAAACCCATTCCCCCAATGGGATCATAACCAAAGGCACAGAGGTTAGGATTTACAACAAATATTTTGGGCCGGCACAATTAAATCCATAACATTCCACCCTTTGCCAACCCTCCCAAATTCATTTTCATTACAAATGGGAGAAATAAGAGGGAAAGAAGGGATAACGGGCACCAAGCAAGTTCAAAACCCAGCAGGACAAATTCCATTAGCTCTCAAGTCTTGAAAATAATCCTCTCTTCTCTGAGACCATCTGGGCAATGGCCCCGCCCTCCAGACACTGGGTGTTGGCCACACCCTCTGGATTCTGGGTGGAGGCCCCTCGGCCCTAGGCTTTCAGCTCCACCTTCCAGGCCCTCTGGGATGGCAGCTCAGCTCCCTTGGCTTTAAGCAGCCCCGTTCTCCTAGTCCATCTGAGTGAAAGGTTGGAGGTTCAAGTCCACCCAGAGGTGCCTCAGAAGAAAAGGCTGGTGATCTCCTTCTGAAAAATCAGTCACTGAAAACCCTATGGAGCATAATTCTACTCCGACACATATGGTGTCGCCATGAGTTGGAATTGACTCGAAGGCAACTGGTTTTTAAATTTGACTTTCATGTCCAAACCGACTTAGAATACTAAGTCTGCTCTTCCCTGGAGTACTTGCTTCCATTCCTCCCAGTGCCCTGTTAGAGATGGCTTCCTACTGGCTTGGGGGATGTGCATATGGATCATAACTCACAAAGAAGAATTCCCTGCTGTCTCCTTCGCCAATCTGACTCGATGCCTTTCCTGGCTACTGACGCTACCAAGGTTGTCAATGAACCAGTCAGCTGTTCTCTGCAATGAGCAGACGAGAGCGGAAAAACCAAACAGAGTAAAATACCGTCTCCTGCTGAAGCAGGTTCCCAAGGTCCCTGCAGGAAACCCACAGCATAGGAGTCACAAACGTGGGTGGTGATTTTGTTGTAAAATCGCCATTTCTAGGTAAATGTGACTAGCTCTCCAGACAGGCCCTTGTGGACAGTAAAACAGTGGTAAACTAGAGAACAGAACTAGCCCTTTGAACAGCAGACACCTTGCCAAACGATACTAAGCACCCTTTTATTACAGGCCTTGGCACTGAGGCCAGGTGCTACGGGCCAGCGTTGACTCATGGTGAATCAACCTAAAGGCGTCCACTCCCCTCCCAAGTCCAGTGTTGCAGTTCTGGGCACCCTTGGGAGAGTCAAAGCTTCGTTTTGGAGGCATTGGGAGAGGAAAGCACCACTGAGAGGCTAAGAGGCTTTGCTTGAAGGCTGCAGGCCTAGGCATAAGAGTGAGCTCCATGAGGAGGACCACAGAGAGAAGTGGGCATGTCTAGGTCCACCCTTAGCATCTTAAAAGAACCCAAAAACTGAACCAAATCTGTAGAAGTCGAGTCGATTCTGACTCATAGTGACCCTATAGGACAGAATACAACTGCCTCATAGGGTTTCCAAGGTTGTAATCTTTACGGAAGCAGACTGCCACATCTTTCTCCTGCGGAGCAGCTGGTGGGTGTGAACCAAAGCCGAGCGCTTAACCACTATGCCAGGGCTCCTATTCCTAAAAGAACAGGTTCTTGAAACCAGCAGGGAGTGAATGACCCTCTGTGCCATTTTTATTTACCTGGAGCACTTTAGGCTCCCTCATGCAGGCCAGGTGAGAGCAGCTGGGGGGAAGGCTCAGGTGATGCTCCCCCAGGAATCTAAACACGTTTGCTCACCTTTTCAACAGCGAAAAGCTGGTGCTTCCGAGGCATCAATTCTGACTCTCCCAGGCAGCCCCGTGTCATCCTAGGATTACTGTCCCATTTGACAGGTGAGGAAAGTGAGGTTCAGAGAGGTCAGACCTTAGAGTGACAGAACAAGGATACAGCACAGGAAAATCTGACCTAAGAATTTGAGGCAGACGTTCACTGTAGCACTATTCAACAATGGCCAAGATAGAAACAACCCAGTGTCCAAAGAGATGAGAGGATAGACAAAATGTGGTCTGTTCATACAGTGGAGAAGTACTCAGCCCTAAAGACAAATGAAGTTTGGAACCTTGAAAACATTACGCTGAATGAAATCAGTCAGACAAACAAGTGAACAAATAACTTCTGATTCCACTTACATGAAATATCTAGAATCAGCAAATGCATAGAGACAAGAGTTTACTGGTGGTTACCAGGGGCTGGGGGGTGGGGTGGGAGTTACTGCTGAAGAGTTGCTGTGTTTCTGAAGCATTTTCCATCACACCACCCTAGAACTGGATTCTCATTCCTATTCAGCCCTCAGTGGGCCCAGTGGACAAAGCTTAACTCTGGTCTTCTAAGCTTGAAACTGAAAGGGATGGAGTCCTGGTAAGCTCTGGGAAACCCTGGTGGAATAGCGGTTAAGAGCTATGGCTGCTAACCAAAAGGTCGGCAATTCGAATCCACCAGGTGCTCCTTGGAAACCGTATGGGGCAGTTCTAGTCTGTCCTATAGGGTCGCTATGAGTCAGAATCCACTGACAGGAGATAGACTGGAAGCATCTTCCTCACAGCCATGCAGGTAGGTGAGGGGAAGTTTGAAACGGGGTCTAGGAGGGGGCGTGGAATGTCCAAGGTAACCAGGGCGTGGGGCTGGGTTAGCCAAGTTGGAATTGCCTCTCCTGTGAACCCTACCACAGCCTCGAGTGCCCTGGAGCCAGACAAATCCTCAGGCTTCCAGGTCGGGCTGTGTTCCCTGGATCTATGTTTGTGCAAACTGCTCATTTCGCCCGTCCTGCATCCCACATGGGATCTTACTCCCCGCCAGGAGTGGATCGTGGGCGAAGGCCCTTGAGCATCAATGTCTTGAAATAGTCTCTAACTCACCAGAGGGTTAGAAAAAAAGGCCCTCCTACCTTCCCACTGTTGAGATTTTAAAATACTCATTTTTCCATCGTGGTAGTGCTTTCCAGGGGAAGGTGGGCCAGCCCCCCTGCTTCTCCCTCCAGATGAGGTTTCAGCTGAGGGCCGTGGTGTCGGCTGCCACGCTCCACCCGAGACAGTGGGTAAATAGTAACACTCCCCAGGGCTGAGGAATTAGGGTCACCTGCAGACCTGCCTTTTAGAGAGCAGGGCTTTGGAGGAGCCTGGGTGTCAGGAAGGGAGAAGCTGACCTGCTGGATCTTGCTGCTGTTCCTCAGTTGGAAGGAACACCAAGTTTGTAGTCAAAAGATAAGTGGCTTGCAGCCCAGCTCTGCTGCCGCTCAAGAGCTCAGAGAGGGGACTACACTGTCCTCACTCACGAAAGGGAAGGTTGAGAGCCAGGACGACTACCTCGTCAGAATCAAGTAGAACACGGAAATATGCCCCCATATGAGTCTAGCTTTTAACAGAAGTAGAGGGTATTTGTTAAACTGAGGAGATCTTCACGCCCATGAACTAGAATGTCAAGGGAGCAATAAGCTTGCGTGACCTGTTGCTGAAACGCTGGGCTCTGTGCATGTAGTCTTTTCACACAGAGATGGTGCAGTGCAGTGAATTACTTAACACAGCCCTTCCAGCCATAGTGTTTGTGACTCCCACATAACAGTTGGGTGGGGTGATGCAAATACGGTGTTTGGGCACACCAAGGGACTGAACAGACCGCTAAGAATGCATATAAGGTGCATGGAGCCCTGCAGGGGTGGGACCACACAAATAAGGTGTAAAGAACCCTAACAAAGGGATTGGTCACTTTTGCCATCCTCGTAGGCTTAGAAGAGAGCCAATCGCAGAGCAGAAGGCGACCTATTACCACCAAGAAAGAAGAACCAAGAGTGGAACGCATCCTTTGGACCTGGGATGCCTGCACTGAGACCCTCCTAGACCCAGGAGACACAGAGAGAGCTGTAACACATTAGACGGCAAGAAGCAGCGGCAGAGAAACCACGGCAGCAGAGGCAGCAGAACCAGGAGACCAGCAGGGGATGACGCAGTGAGCTTCCTGGTAAAGGGAGTGAGAAAGCTGACTGCCTTTGGGCCAAGGCTTCCTGGTGGAGTGGAGTGCCTCTAGGCACCTATTGGAGGAGCTAAAGAGCTGTGTAATACTTGCCAGGTAAGGGAAGGCAACGAGGAGCCGGGGGCCAGAAACAGGCCTGACTGCAGGCATGGCTGAGAGGGAGCTGTAACCCGAGTTGTCACCTTTTACTTCCCTAATAAACCTCATTAACTGTGAGTATTGTATGTGAGTTCTGTGTGGCCATTGCAACAAATTATTGAACCCAGAGGAGTAGAGAGTGCTGAAGGAGGGACGGTTAGTGTCAGAATTGGTAAAAAGATTAGAGGGAGGAGGCATGTCTCACAGGAATCAGCCTTGGGTTGTTGATGCTGATAATGATTCTCTCTCCCCCTCGAGGACAGATGAGGTCAGAAAAGGTCAGACGAGGTCAGATGAGGTCAGAGGAGGTCAGTCGAGGTTAGACAAGGTCAGACAAGGTCAGACATCGCCACCACACCATTTTTACAGCTGTGCAAACCTTCTAAAAAATTACTAGCATAATAG